ATTTCAAGTTAATTCACACACAGAAGGTGTATGAGAAGTGCTTAATGTAAATTCATAGTAACAGATTCGTTCGGCGCTTTCGTGGTAGTTCGGATGGTTACCCTTTCAGCCAACCTGACGATGGAATTCCTCCTTTAAATTTACGCCCAACTAGTGACGCAAGGTCTTTAGCATCTTCCAGTTCTTTTTGGTCGTCTTGATATTGCCAGAAACAGCGCACATACAAACCCAATCCCCTACACGGATAGAAATTTCCTTATACCTTTTGGCAAATTTCTATTGCTGATTATACATAAAATGTATAAGTCAACTAATAAGCAGACGCCATGCAAAAAGTTAATGAAGATCATGTGTCAAATGAAATGTATAAGCGGTCACACATACCTTTTATGCAATCTTATAGGACCTATGATGTTTGTCTTATGGAATGTATAAGGCTGAGGTTTGGCAAAAATGTATAAGTGAAACACATGGATAAAATAATTGATTTTCGTTTCGTGTAGCTGGTTCTCCAAATCAACACTCAACACTATTTCCCTTCCATATTTCTTGCCGTGGCTTCCCTTAATTTTTGCGTGAAGTGTCGGTTTCGGAATATTGTACCTTTTCTGTGCCTGATACGCGGTAAGTGATTTATTTCTTACTAAAAGAACAGTCTCTTGAAGATTTTCGACTGTATAACTCTTTACTTTAGCCATTTTTTCAATCGAAGAAACTGATCACTCGGCCAAAACGAAATCGAATTTCAAATCAGCTGCGCATGAAGGATGTAGACAAACCGTAGCGCACCTAGCGGCCGTCTTAGGAAACACATAGGTCCAACCATCATCATGCGTAGGTCCAACCATGATCATATTTATCTATTCGAATTTCGTCAATTATTCAAACATTTTAGTGAAACCAATGAATAAATGGCGTACTAACGTGTTGTTTACACCTTAAAGCAGTATTTTACTGCATGAAAATAAAAATAAATGGAAAAATATTCCTTTTTTGTATGTTTGAAAGTAAGGCGTGATGACGAGCTAATGCTTGGAAAGTGAAATGTTTTGAAAACACATTGAAACTCAATTGTTTTAAAGTTTTTTCAATAAAACACCCATGCAAATTGAAGAAAAAGAGTTTTTTTATGATAGTAAAGTGATCTTTGAAAATAAAAAAATTAGCGAAGATTGACTAAACTAGTGATTGAAAAAATAGGTCCAACCATCATCAGTTTTTGGATAGGTCCAACCAGAATCAATAACCCTACTATCAGAATCAGCATGTATTCTGGTGCTGTGTTCAGTGAAATTACTTATTTAACGTAATTTTTGGTCCCTGAATCCGAATTTGAAATCCAATTTTGTTAAAATGAACGATTTCGTATCATAAAAACTATTTTATTTGAAAACTACATGTAGGCGTATTTTTAACTATTTTGCTTCAAAAATTTGATCCGCGAAATCTGTGATTTCTCAAAAAAAAAATCGCGGCTTTAAATGCTAATCCACGCCAGATTAAAAAAAACGTTTTCATTGCTTAAAAATACCATTTGAATTACTAATACATGGCATTTCAAGATTATTGCTTATAGCCAAGGAATCAAAAATATCTCCAAATGACAAAATGACAAGCGATCAACGAACCGAATGATAACGCTATGTCAGAAGTGGAAAGCAATAATGATATAATCTGCTTCCTCTTTTTTCATGACAAGCAACCCGTGCGACACAGCTCACTCGAGGCGGTAGAAGGAAATGAGCAAATTGTTGGCAGGCTGGTTCACGAAGTAAAGCCGAAGATGATACACGTGTGTCAATGGGATTTTTTTTGTTATGGCTTTTCTCGATTCAGATCAAGCTATGTCCTCATCCGTGTATATTGCAACAAAGCAGGCAAGCAATAGGGTTAACTAACCCATTTCCGGCCTATTAAGCACAATCCGCACTTAGTCTTTCTTGATCTAGCACAATTTAACACCAAACGGAATGTTATTATTACTGATGGCTTCCAAATTTAATAACCTTTCCGTATGTACCGTAAGATTTGATAAAGAGAAACCAACCGTTGAGATATTGTCAAAAGTCTAACACTGCTTCTTGACGCCAAACTCGGCCTCGGATTCTAAACTCGGCCTAACGAATTGAAACGCCAATGAATTCACGTCAGCCTATCGGATGCAGATAAACATTGATTCAGTCGGAGCGCTTTTTTTGTTTTTGGGAATAATGGGTGCAAACCTTCATATCACGCGTTCTCGTTGACTTCGTTCTGTAGCTTATTAACTAAAGTATCGTACCAGAAGCATAATTGACTTGTTAATACTGAAATCATTGATTTATTTGAAGTTTTCTGCTCGATAGGCCCAAAATGGGCGATTAGGCCGTAGTAGTTCTCTACCCTATACCATTATTCTTCTACCACTCTGATCGAGCTATGTTACAGAGCGAGTTTGCCATGGTAGTCGTAGCAACCGTTTTGTCTGTATCGTTGGTTGCTTTATGTGTTTGGATTCGCTGCTTATAGCATATTTGCTGTTTACTTCCTCTTAACTTAGTGTTTTAGAAGCGTTTCCACATTTTAATACAAACCTATACCCAAGGAAGTCGACAACTATTTAGTGAAAATAAAAAAATAAAACACATTATGAGATTCTACTGAATAGCTTGTCTGAAAAATTCTTTAAAACATTTATGCATTTTGATTTAAAATGCAAATTAACTTGAAAATGATTAACATCCAAATTCAAATAAAAAAAAAAGATGGTGCATAGCACAAATTTCCATTAAAAAAAAACCGTAAATAATTCAACTTAGAAGTATTTCAAAGGAGTTTTAAAAAACCTTTAAGATAATTCCTACGAAAATTCAAAGAAAATTGAATTCTGAATTCCGAGGATAGTTCTTACAAAATTTTGAGGAAAATTTCTAAGGAATTCTGAAGAGTATTCCAAGGATATTCCGGTGATAAGTTTTAAAAAAATTAAAAGAGATTTCCAAAGAAATTATGAGGAACATTTCAAAGAATTAATGCGAATTCTGAGAAGAACTAAAAAGGAATTCCTATGGTTATTCCACCGACACTTAATTCTAACGTATGCCCGAAAATCGCAAACGGCCGATTTAAATGTGCAGTGATCCGAACTGTTTTTGATCTACACTCAAAGATAAATTAAATCATAAAAGCTTAAAAAGTATGCAGTTTCCCGCTTCACCTTATTGAGTCCGAGCCATGATTACTTCGGCAATAGTCATGCATGATTAAAATCGAAATAATCTTTCCAGTATTAAATTTTATTCTTTTTGAATACTGATATATAATCAAAAAAGATTAAAATTCAATCAAAAATTATTAAAATAGAATCTAAAATGATTAAAATTTATTCAAAAAAAGATAATCTACAATCTAATCAACCATGATTAAACTGGGATTGATATCAGATGCTTATTTTTTAATCATTCGATATGATTAAACTGAGTTTAATGTCAAATTGATTAAATTTCAAGCAAAATGGGAATAGTTCAATTTATCAGTGTAGATAAAAATAATTTGTCCAAAATAGATCAGACAGAAGCCATAACTTATGCATGAGGGTTCATGGCTTAGCGAAATATTTCCCGCGAACACGGAGCCAGATGTCAGTAGTGTGCTTTGGTTAGAAATTTTATTGTATTTGTTATGGTCATTCATGTCGGTTTGCCGGTGGTAATTCCATGGGAATTTCAGGAGAATACTTGAGAAGAACGTGATTTTTTCAGGGAATTGCTAGAATTATTCATTGGTCAATATGTCAATATCAATATGAGCAGCATTGTAGAGTGAATTGAGAGAGTGTTCGGCAGAAGATTTTTAAGCGTATTATGGAGGAAATTGAAAAAGAATTCAATTTTTCTACAACTGAACGCAGAAAAAGGTCATATATGATCATGTTTCAAGGTGTTTTATTAAAACTGAAATATTCCGGACATGGAGTTAGGGAGAATATTAGGGAACGCAAGAAGTTTTCAAGTTCCACAACTAGCAACAATATTTGAAACACCGAACATTGAAATTTAGGGTTGCGAACTTGAAGTTAATCAAACAGCTGAGACTTCATCTGCTAATTCTGGGATTTTGGAACTTTGAAAAGCTTCTAGATCTCATGGTGACCAGTGAATTCCGGTTTTTTCTCGATGCTTGCCCGTAATTTTGGAAATTTTTCCGGTTCGAGGAATATATCGCGAATTGGTAATCATTAATTTAGACGCAACCAATTTGCAATATATTTCACATGAAGTTGATCGATGTTACAAAACCATCTATAGACCTTACTGACTGCCATAACCATTACTATTAAATTTCTCAAATCATAAATAACAAGGTTGCAATATAATTCCTTTTCCAAAAATGTATGGAGAAAACATGTATATGGAATGGTAATGGTTCTTAAAAACCCATTGTTTGTAAGGTTCACTTCCAAAAAACCATAATACATAAGGTTAAAACTTTATCACCAAAACGTTCGTGTTCCATAACCAATTCATTTAAAGTTTAGCAGGAATTGTATACAATTTTTAACCATTTCTGGTAAGGTCAAATAATGGTTCGCATTTATGCGGGTCGCAAACCAACAACATCATCGGGAAGGGGAAAGTTTCCCCTACCGGGTGATGTTGATGGTTTGCGTTATGGGTGGCGAAAAAAGGGCATAAGGAGGTTTGTTTACAAAAAGCTTGTATGCCATTTTCACATGTTCTTCTTGATATGGTTTGTGTCAAATCAGTTTTTAGTCGACGAGATCAAATTTTGGATCCCATTTGGAACCGTTTGAACACTGTGGAGCAAAAAATTTCAAAGTTTGCATTTGTCTACTATTAAATAATGAGATCATCAGTATTCAAATTGAAAACTTAATACCTCATTGATTTTCTTCCCAACTGCAGATGGCTGAGAACGGTCAGATCTCACCGCAGGTAGATTGATTAATGTTTATTAAGTCAATCCTGATGCATAAACAACACCGATAAACCCTCACTTACCTTGATAGGCGCTGTACGCATAGTACGAGCAGGCGGTCAGGTGAATCATGTACAGCATATAAGTGAGCGTCTTGACGACTCGTATCTAAGGAGAATGCAAATGAAATAAGGTAAAGTTGGATTGATTTTGCTTTGCTGGGGTTGAAACGCGTCAATGTCACACTGGTCGCCTCTGTCGGTCGGTCGATCGGTCGTTTAGTTGTCGTTGTTTTATATATAGACATTTACTCACAATGTGTGGTGACGATAAAACCCGATCAATCAGTTTGAAAAACTCCCAGAAGCTTTGAATCTTCAGCAGACGAGGCGCCCGGAATACCACGTGTTCGGTACCGAATTTCAAATAGAGCAAGTCCAATGGCATCAGGGCTAGGAGGTCCATCTTCAAGTAGATTAATTTGACTTTTTCTATCCCACTGCTAATCGAATAACAAGCTTACCTTAAACTGTAACTTCCTCATATAATTCTTACGCGTCAGATCGGTGTCCTTGACCCAAAAACCTTCAAACAAGTACATAATTCTGTGCTTAACGAACAGGATGTCAATTAGATAGATAACATCAGCGCAAATGTCAACAGCGATCCAGTATTTTGTGTTTTCAGGAGTTTGGTAGGGGAACGAAGTCCGCAGTGGGATAACCCACGCATTGTACAGGAAAGACAGCGATACAATGAACAGCCAAGAAATGTAAAATTTTCCCTGCGGATCCAGCACCGCATTCGTCGCTCCGGAGCAGAAGATAGGACAAAAGTAGTGACGATCACACGTTTGAGCCCCCGTGGTTGATTGCAAGGTTAGCGCAGAATTCTGAATGGCTAGTACTGGAAAAAGAGAGTAATGTCGATTTAATCTGAAACATTGGAATGTCAACAACGTTAAACATACATTCAGCATTATGCTTCTGAGTTGAAGGAGCCGTCGACGGGGCACTGGCACTACTAGAGGGTGTGGGTGGAATCTCCAGTTTACTTCTCATGCGCTTCGTTCTTTCCGAGAATCGATTCGCGAGATGTCTCAGACGACCTGTTACGAAATCGTTGTCTTCCGGTGGGGGACTCCTGAAATACAATTTAAATCACATGCATTCGATCGTTTTTGATAAACAATACTACTATGCTCACGTGACTTCCATGTCTTCGATGATTCTCTCGTTACTATCGCTGCTGTCGGCCTTCGGATCGGAGACATTATCTTCGGGTTCGTCGCTTGCCTCTTTATACGGTTCATCGCAGAGAGAAGTCGCCGATTCCGTAACGCACATCTGCAAACTCTCCAGGGGAGTTCCAACCGAGGTCGGCGATTCCGACTTGGGGCCCATCGTGAAATGCTGATGTTCTAATTTGACCAACATGTTATTCTCATCATTGATAATCCGTTTGACTATTTCATGCGTACTTTTCAGATTGGACACCGCTTCTTCCGCATCCAGGCAGCCAATTTTCCCATTTCTAAAGTACAACTTGGACTTATAACCCTTTGGACTTAACGATTTGATACGCCTCTTCTGCGTAATATTCACTTTGAAGGTCGGCGATTTGACCCTGGAACTATCGGGCCTTCCGAAGCACATTTTCGTTGGACTGCACTTATTCTTAATCTGTTGCATCTTCTTCTCGAAAGCCTTCCGTTGGCGTTCCCTTTTGTACAGCTGTTCGTCAAATTCCCGCTCCTTTTTCAGGATTTCCTCCGTAACGGATATGAAATCTTCCAGTTCCTTAATGTCCTTGGAAATTTCTTCCAAACTTTTGTGCAGCTTGATCTCATCTCTGCTTCCATTTCGGGACATTCCACCGGAATTGGCGGAATAACGTCCTTTAGCTGAAGCAGAATACCTATCCGGGCAGAGAACCGTCTCCGAGCGGGACTTGTTGTCCTCCCAGGCGCTCGATAACCTTGCCGAGGACATTCTCACGCGGTACGCGACGACGCGCAATAGTCAACAGTCAACTCGCAACTAGAGGAAAAAAGTATATCGAGAAATTAAAAGTTACAAGCAATCGATGTGCTGCTAAGCAAATACTAGGTAGATGATACTAAAGTAGCGGTCACCATCGTAGTCTTAGCACGGTACCATCAGTATGAACGTTGTGGACCGCATCAAATACATTCGTGGGGAGCGCTATGGTGAATACTAATCGCGTGATTGGCCATAAATTATGGTTGTAATATTACTGCACGCGGGGAACAGCAAAACGCTCGTTGGCGGTGGTATTTTGGAGCCGGGCCGTGTTAGTGGAGGGAAAAACTTGTCTTTGGTAAAACAAACATAACGCGGAGGATTAATTCAACTAGGAGTTTGTTTCCCAGGCGCACTACTGACACCATCAGTTACACACTTTTGCATACATGATTCTTCTGTAGAAAGCCTGACGGGTGGGTTTGATTCATAACCCCAAAATATGAGGCTGTGCAAGAAAATGGCAAAGAATAGAAGTTTATATGGAAATATTGGCGAATGGAAAATTATTAAAATTCACTTAAATCGTTCTAACTTTGGTTCTAGTTGTTGAAACGTTAATATGAGGATTTGTTGACAATGACCAATGCCTGTTATTGTTGTTGTGATGAAATTAGTGTTGTTGTGAGGTGCATATTAAACTTTCAATATACCCTAATTTGTAATTTTTGTTTTCACTTTTCTACTGTTGGTCATTGTCATAGCAACCACATACAGCGTTTGGTTAACCAGAACCAAAGTTAGATGGATATAAGTGAAATTTAAAATGCCTCTACAGTAATTCCTATAGAGGGTCTAGTATAAGAGTGGAGCGGATTAAAAACAAACTGCCTTGGCAACCTATGCCTATGTGATTTCTGGCAACAGTGCCAATTCAATCAATGCACTGCTCAACCATAGAGGTACACAGCAAAAAAAAATGTAATATCGATCAATGTAATTCAAGCTGATGTATGAAATAATGATGTAATACCAAAAAGCAGATACAATATTACATCAATGGATGTAATTTTGTTCGCAAAATCGATGTACATCGTACAACGTTATATTACACAACCGATGGATTGACCTGGTTGCAGCAGTTTGGATGTAATATTCAACAACTTTTTTTTCTGTGTAACTCTAAGACAAGTAGGTCCCGAAGAAACGTGCTCAACTTTTTGGCTCACCTCTGGTACTATCTTCGGTCCCAAGCTTGTCGAATCACCCATCGAAACAAAGGAAAAACCAATAACCCCTCATTTTATCTGTCAAACTTTCATAGCGAATCAAAACAAACATTGCGTAGTACTAGAATTTCGACTAGAATAGGGTACGTTAATCGTTTGCTTGGGACCAATAGGCTACTAAAGTGGTGAGCCAATTTAAAATCGTTAGTTTCGTATTGATTGTTGGCTCAACTGGCTCTGGCTTTGACAGTTCGTTTGGCTCAAAACCAGCCAGTCCGCTCCTCTCTAGTAATTCCCATACAAAATTTCAAACCATTTGCGTGACTTCTAAGCCTTCATCAATCATTACCGTGTTTTCACTGACTCATATCTTGGGGCTATGATTCAAACCGGAGGCTGGCCTATAAGAAATCTATCTTTTTTTTCAAAATGAAGCACCCTAACGTTATTTCCACTTGTAAAATTGACAAAAAAGGAAAAAGTGAACCTTCAATTCCGAGACCATTTGAATACAGTTTGATTGGAGCATTGACAAAATTTTGAATTTTAACCTTCACTTACTGATCACATGATCACATGATCTAAATTTTACAGCTCAGATCAAATGATTTACTTAGATCAACAACGAATGGTACAATCAACCAGTGGAAACTAACGATTTTAAATTGGTTCACTGCTTGACTAGCCTAATGGTCCCAAGCAAATCGATTAACGTACCCCATTCTAGTCGAAATTCTAGTACTACACTTTGTTTGTTTAGATTCGCTATGAAAGTTTGACAGATGAATCGAGGGATTCGTGGATTTTTCTATGTTTCAAGGGGTGCATCGATTAGCTTGGGACCGAAGATAATACCATAGCTGAGCCTAAAAGTTGAGCTCGTTTCTTCGGGACCTACTAGTCTTAGAGTTGCCACTATGGTACAATCATAGAGGTAACTCTAAGACTAGAAGGTCCCGAAGAAACGTGCTCAACTTTTTGGCTCAGCTCTGGTACTCTCTTCGGTCCCTAGCTAATCGATGCACCCCTCGAAACATAGGAAAATCGACTAACCCCTCATTTTATCTGTCAAACTTTCATAGCGAATCAAAATAAACATTGTGTAGAACTAGAATTTCGACTAGAATGGGGTACGTTCATAGAGGTAACTCTAAGACTAGTAGGTCCCGAAGAAACGAGCTCTACTCTTTGGCTGAGCTCTGGTACTATCATAGAGGTAACTCTAAGACTAGAAGCTAGGGGCACGCAATAACCTTTAACTCCTGCGCAAGCCTTTTTTAAGTACAATAATTACAGTTAATTACATGATTAATTACTTTAATTACAAACGCCGGATAATTTTTGATTCAATTAATTTTAAGTACAAATTTCAGCTTTAATTACAAGTAACATAAATTAATTACATTAACTCCAATATATTCATTCATTAAGTACAACGAGAAATGTACTTTAATTACACCCCACCCTTTCGTACTTGATGTACCTGTTCAAGCGGGAACGGTGACAAAGGTGCAGAAGGCGGTAGTTCTTTCGCTGGCCATTTCGCAGGATCAGATTTTTTTTTTGAGCCCGATAAGAGCAAGAGCCAAACGAAAACTGAAGCTGGTGTATAATTTGGACATTCTGCGACACGCTAAATCGGAGCTAATATGCAATTGACTTCCCAGCACGGATAACTTGAGTGTGTCAAGTTGATCGGTAGCGATTATTTCGTGTCCTGTGCAGATGGTACTCATCGTTTCCTATCGGTTTGGAGTTCTGCCCATAGTATTGTTTAGTTTACCCATGGAAAGATGAACCACAGACAAACAGACGTAACTCTTGGAAAAAGTTTTTCTTGAAAACATAGTATCTCAAAACATATGACCTCAGTAACGACATCTCTCGGGCTTCTCGCGGAAAACAAGCTTGCTCGATAGCTCGCAAACAATATTGCATAAAAGTTCTATAGAATGTATAGAAACGTCAAAGTGATCCGATGCCAGCGCTGCGGCGAGTAGTTCGCGGAACTGATAATATTCAAATCAACCGTTAAATGCTTGAACGAAGATACACAATGAAGTGTTACGTCTGTTTGTTTGTGGATGAACAATGGGGAGGCGAATTTCATAAGTGCTATCGCGTCAATTTTGAATACGGATGTGATTTTTTCCGGATCATATGATGGCCTGTTTACTTTTGCCTAATTTTCCATATCTAAGTTGGCTCTCTTCAATCAATTTTGCCAATCCTCTTTTCATCATATGCGCATCCATTTTAGTATCACAGCAAACAAGGAGTAGCAATTTCAAATTTGTATGTTTTGTGGAAGCAACATTTGTGCCTTTAAAGTTTCACGCTAAGGCTTCCTTAGAATATCACCTTACGATTTTCCTCCCTTCAGTGTCCTTTGAGTGTTTTGGCAGCGGCACAAGCCCTCTCGCTCTTTGTGTGTGTCTACTGTTTTAGGTTTAACAAAAGGTGAATTTTCCCAACCAACAAAAACTCATACAGACGAAAATCCACGGATTGCAACCAACTGGTTACAAGCTGTCAAATCAAACAAGAATATCCACGTTTATTTTCGACATGAATACTTTTATACGATATCACATAACTTTTCTCTTAAAATACGTTTGAATCAACCTAGTTTATTTTTGTGGTCAGAACAAACTGAGTTTACATTTATATTTACCTCAAATATTTTTATTTCGATGATAGTTTTTTCTGCGTGTCATCATGACAAAAATTTGGACCCTCAGCAAAGCCGAAAGTTTGATTTTTTGGGGTTCTTATAGAGATTAGTGACGTTTAACGCTCGCATACTAGCGGGAGCAACGCCGTGTAAAGTTGTTTATTATTTTCCTCTGGCTAACCTACAAAAATGTATGAAAGTAGATCTGTAAAATGAGTTTGACATCGATTTGTTATGTATTTTCCTCGGATATTCACTAACACGCTCTCACATATCGCACCAATACAACCGGCCGTGAAAATCTCTATAGTCTAACTTTATGCCATGATGCCTTACAAAAAATGTTTTTGTACGTGAATTTTCTTTAGAAAATAATAAGAAAAAAAAAGATTCTTGATATCTTTTTCCAAAATTTTCAGAAAAATCAAATCGTAATATATTTTTTTAGCAGTGAACTTTCCCTTAAATCTTTACATTATTATTTATATTATAATATTTAGTTTGAGAAAAATATTGAAAAAATCGAAGAATTCACGCGTAACATTAGAAAATTAATGCAACTGCAAATGCATCTTTCATTAAATCTGTCAATTCAGGTATAAGCTAATATCATCATCTTTCGAACTGTGCTGTGAGCATAGCTTAAAATTCGAACATTTTTTAATCAGGAGGAAATCGTTCGAGAATTTGGTTGAATTTAAGGAAATGTAAAATTTGAAGACTCAAAGTTGAGGTTCTAATTAAACATTTTAAAACTGATATCCCAACAAACAATAATTATTGCCTATTGTAGAAACGGCTCCATGACGATTTTATTCAACTGCATGCTTAATAATACTTGTACTATTTTGAATAATAACTTCTGTTCAGGCTTTGTTCACACAAATCTGGAGAATTTATTCAACCACAACATTGAAATATTTGGTGTTGAATAAGGTATGTCGAGAAGCTTATATTCGACTTACAAGAGTTGTAACAGAGCCTATTCGATCAAATTTTTGATTATTCAGCGTTTATTAGACATCATTACTTCCTTAAACAGCGATGGTATAAAGGATGCTTGATTCTCATGTGAAATAATGTTTAATTAGACACTATTATACATTTATTTAACGATTATCCAACTACGAGATAATGAATACGAAAATAGGAAC